TGGCAATATTGATCCAAAATAACGCACATGTGCGTCCCGAAATAACGCACAGGTGCTCAAAATAACGCACAGGTGTGTGTTATTACGCGAAAATACGGTAAGTGTAACTAAACCGATTCTGCAAAGAACTTTCCAAAATATTAAATTTCTGCATCGGAAAAATAATTATCACATAAAGTTGTCATCTAGAATGTTAGCCAAGAATTCATAAACGTGATAGAATGAATATGCAAATACCAATTATGGTCTAATTGTTCGGTCCTACAAATTGATTTACTTTGGGTGTTGCACTATGTAAATTAGTCCTATCGCTATCCTTCAACTGCTCGTAACCATTTGCCATACATTTATCCGTATTTGTACTTGCGAGAGTTTAAAGAGCTCTAAAATGTCTTCGTTAGTTGGTAGTTTATTATGTGACATTGAAATATTAAAGAAAGAGTTGGATCAAACCACAATCGCTCCTTTATCATTATATAACCATCATTCGAATCATCAATGATTATTATTAATCAAAGAGAATTTATTTGTGCAATAATATGGTTCTGTCAGTGTATATGTCATACCTGCTGGATAATTAGTTATCCGTCACATCGTGCAAGATAACAAGAAATTATTTTGAAAAAGTATCGAATTCATTGTAGCGCATTAAATTTGTTGTGGTGTATTGAAAATGCATTAAATCTATTGTGGATTATTGAAAAGACACTAATTCCATTGCAGAACATTGATCATCTTTAGTGATATCATTATAATAAATATTTTCAAAATTAAGATTGTCATGTTGATAATAATAAAAGTCTTGATCATTTGAATCTTGATCATTCAAAATAGAAATTAAATTCATTTTTGGATGTTTATTTGTGCTATCAAATAATTCAGATTTATGATTCAATATACTAAAATAAAAATAATATAATTTAATATTGAATATTTTCAAATATAATACTGTAAATATTATCTGATTCCTTACCTCTTTTCATTCATAATATCAAGTGATGTTTCTTTAGTGATATATTCTATTAGAAATTAGCATAAAAACCATGTTTAAATTTAGATTATAATTTATATTCATTAATGTTATTGAGGCAAATTGAAGCTGATTTTAGGCATTCGGCCTTGGCGTAACAAAAAAATAAATTATTAATCAACATAAAGATATATTGATTATCACATCTTTCTGAAAATATCTTAGATTCAATTTAAAAATGGATTTTCTAACATGGATTTAATATGTAATATTAAATTTAAACCAACTTCAACTTCTCAGCGTGAAAAATAAACTTATACATACTGTTTTCATCTTTAATACTTTCATGAATGTTATTAAATGATTGACTTTCATTATAAAAAGTTTTTCAGAGTTCGGAATATTACATTGATATGAACAAAAAACGTTGTCATTTTTTAAACGTTGACCAATTTTAGTAGATGATTCAAGATCTGGCATAGGATTAAAAACTATATTAATATTAAACCATTTTTAATACTAACCAAAAATCATGTATTTTAATTGATACCTTTCATTCATTATATCAAATAAATTTTCTTTAGTAATGTAATCTATCGAACGCAATTGATAATTAATAATTAATAAGATAACGATAATTTAATGCACAATATATTTTACCTGTAATTGGCAAACAATTTAATTGATTATAATGTAGCGTTGATGCTGTTTTTATGAGGGAACTTAATGATCGACTTTTAAATACAGCATCTGGATGGACTGCAATTTTTGTGCCTTTAATATTAGGAAGCTCAGTTTTACCGTCCCAAGTCATCTCACGAATAGTTTTTGCAACCATATCAGCAGCTGGTCTCTTTGATGGATCAGTTTCCCAACATTTCATCATCAAATCAATATATGGTTTTGATGTACCATTAATGACCGGTGGACGAATACCGTCACAAATATCATTGATAAGATGCACATCATGACTACGATCAGAAAATGGTCTTTGACCACTTGTAATTTCCCACATAATCATCCCAAAACTATATACATCTGATGCTATGGTCAATTTCCCACCTCTTAATACTTCTGGTGCAATATATGGAATGATACCATAAACTTCATTATCCGGCATGATGGTGACGAATACAGTTATTAACAGAATAATAACAACGCACATGGCCTTCGGCCACGTGCTTTGTTATCATCCTGCCAATAACTGTGTATTCGTCAGATCATGTCAGATAACAAGAAATTATCTGATGATTCATTTGCTGGACGGCTTATCCCAAAATCATTAATGTTTACAGTCACCCAATTATCACGAACTTTGTTAATAAGTATATTGCCACTGTGAAAGTCTCTATGAATAATTTGCTGCTTATGGATTTGCGAAAGTTGCTCTGCAATGTCTTTCAGGATTGATAATTTGCTTCTAGAATTAAACTCGTTGTAATTCAATAGAAATTGATGTAAATTTCCATCTTGCACAAAGTCGATGACAAGCATAAATTCTCTTGTTTGTGGATCTTGAGTAACGCCAAAAAAATTGATAACTCCATTCAAATTCACATTAAGATCATTTTTCGCCTTTCCAACGAATTTAATATAAATTTCCAACTAATAAACCAGAAAAAGAATCAGCCTTTATGTTAGGAGATGTGATATAAATAATAATTATTCACGTTTTATCATAGATATCACGTGATGCTTAATGATATCAATGATTAATACGAAGTTTAAATGGATCTTGTTTTAATTGTTTGAAATATTTAGTGTTATCAATATTACAAGTTTATCCATAGGTCTAGATTTCTGAAAAAAAGTGGTAAAAAGTGGTCGGATATACGGATATATTGGCATTGAATATATAGTGCGATAAGAACATTTTATTGATGAAGAGTGTAATAACTAATTTATTAATGTTTCCTATCTGAATAAACATCCTGTAAATAATGATCTATTGCAATGAATTATAAATAAAATAGTTCAGTCGTGATAAAAAAATATAAAATCAGGTGTGAAAGTTTGTAAAAAAAACAAAAATACAAATAATAATTGTTTTGGTGCTAATATTAGAGCTTATTTGTGTTAAATATTATATTTTGTCATTAGAACATGAAGGTCTGTTTCATCGTTAGGAAAAATTTAAGTTATAGGCCATTTCCTTAAAAAAGATTTTATGTTAAACATATGACTTCGACATGTTCTGCAATGATTAGCCTACAGTATTTCAATAAATGGTTCTCTTAACGTGAATTCATAAGAAAAATATACCGTATAAACTCGAAATAACGCAGTGGGCGTTATTTTGAAAATCAGAGCCTTCAAAACTAGCTTATGAAATTCCAATTAATGTAGATCACTTGACAAAAAAAAAATAAAAAATAAAAAGTGTTCTGGAATTGAATTTGATACTAAGTAAACCTGCTTTCGCACTCTAATAAAAGTTGTTTTTCAGATTGAGTCAATTATAATGGTGGTAAAAGCAAGTTTATTTAATACAAACCCAGTTCATGAGCACATTTTAGTTCTTACTATACTTATTATAATTAGTGATGGGCAAATCGAAGATTTTTTGATATTGACCTAGCTGCCGCACCAAAATTGTTACGGATGATCCTCGATTTTGATTGGCTATTCTATGTAAACAAATGGGTAAGTATTTTTGAACCCGGACCAATTTTATATATGACGTAATAATATTTTGGTCTGGATTTAAAAATAATCACCCAAATAAACAAATCATTTCCGATCTGGCTCCGAGTAGGGTTGGGGGCACGGGGTTAAGAGGCATGCCCTTTGACCAAAAGGCATGCCCCTATCATGTGATATAGGGCTATTATATAATTGGTCAATTATCAAATTGGCCAATTAGAATTATAGCCTACTATTGCTAATTATGATAATATATGATATATGGGTCATGGTCTAGGAAAACCCCCTCTGAAGGGTACCATATTCCTCCGAAAATAAGCACCCCCTCAAAGCAATTTTTATAGCCAAATTTCTCGTGCTCTAGTGATCAGATCTACATAATTTTGATACTATTCGAATTGGCTTATCAAACGATTTGAATGGTACCAAAATTACGCAGTTCCGATCACTAGATCATGAGAATTTTGGCTATAAAAATTGCTCTGAGAGGGTGCTTATTTTTGGAGGAATACAGTAGTTTCTATTTAAGAAAATAGTGATTTAATGTTTGTGTTACATAAAATTTTGTTGTTTTTCCTCCTGAATTTTTGATTTATTTTTAAATATCCAATCATGTGCCAAAATTTTAATCAATAATTTGATTATGTTAACATACTTTGTTTTTTAGCATTATTATACAATGTCTTTAATTGAAAATAAAAAAAAAATATTTTCATCACATATTTCTTTAAAGCAGCTAGAATTAAATAATTATGAAGATAATGAGTTAGTACAAGAAGTAGCACAAGACTTAAGAAAATTTTTTTAATCTAAAAACTGTAAATGCCGAATGAGAAATTCTTTTCAATGTTTTGAAAAAGTTGGATTTAAATGATTTTTGAATGATATATACAATTTCATAGCTTAGATAAAAAAGAACTAGACTTAGTTTTAATGGATCAGCTTATGGCATTTAAATATAATCAAACAAATGAAATTATTAAAAAATTTAATTATCAATTTAATAATGACGTTAAACTTTATAAAAATACATATCTCAAGTTATTGGAGTTGGAAACAATTATCTTACTAGAATTAAAAAAAATTTAATAACTAAAGGATTAGTCAAACGATTACATGGCAATACAAAACAAATTCTTAATACAAACAAACATATAAAGATTAATTAAACAGTATTAACTTTAATTTTTACATTTATTAGTAATTATGCTAACGTTTATAGATATCTTTCTTCAGGTCAATATTTACAACATGATATACAAACAATAATTTACTTACCAATAGATAAAGACTATATTAAAGTATATACTAATTTTATTGAATGTTTTAATATTTTTCCTGAAAAGCCATTTGATAAAATTGGTTATAAAAGTTTTGTTTGTATTTGGAAAGAGCTATTACCACATATTAAATTTATGACGCCTGATATAGATTTATGCGAAATATGTAAAATGGTAAAAGCTGGAATTTGGCATACAAATTATAATAAGGAAAAAGAATTAATTCAAAAAAGGTTAGATAACTATAAACAAAAAGCAGAAATAGAATGAGAATATTATTATAATAATATTTTAATAAGTATAACAGTACCTGAAATAGCATATATATGTTACAATTATGCACAAAATGTTCCAGTGCCTTATTCTCCTCAACAAATTAGTATGTCATATTTTAAATCACTTCAGGCTTATATTTTTGGTATTTGTAATATGGGACAATATTTATCTCAACAACTCAATTATATCATTGCTAAAAATGAATTTCCCTAAAGAACAAATAAAGAAGCAAATACAACAATTAGTCTTGTTTATAACAGTCTGAGAATATACTATATTAGGTCATTGCAGATCACACCTTATTTAGTAATGATCATCTGTCAGATTGTTCTAAATTTTTTTCTAGATCATTCCATATTCTATAAAGATTAGCCAATAAAATTTAAATATTTAATTAAATTAATCGGCCCTACAGTAAAATTTTAAAGTAAAACTTCTACGGCAAAGTAAAACTTCTACGTGCACACG